GAATCTCTCTCTCTCTCTCTCTCTCTCTCTCTCTCTAACAAAATTCCCTTTTTTAGTTCGGTAAATGGTGATTTCTTGCTCTGTTGTAACTCTAGAGGATAATTTCCTAGTCAAAATGGATCTCTTCATCGCCATTGAACTTTAAACCACAAAGTTTGAAATTTTTCTTATTTTATTTGCTGCTGATTCTGACGTCGAATGTCTTTTGCCTCCCTCTTCTACACGCTGGGAGGTTCCTACAACCACTGTTTCTTCGTCTCCGTGATCGTCTTCAATTTAAGATATATCATAGGTTTTTGACCATGATATAGGTTTTGTTTATAGAGATTTTTGGTATTTTTGAGTCTTTTCGAGTCTAACCAGGTTATAGTACGTTTCGAGCATATTTGGAGAATTTTGAACATTTTGAAGCATTGTGGAAAATTTTGCTGAAAAGATGAAGTCAGAGACAAATTTGAAGCATGGTTTCGATCAACACTGATTGTGGCGAGACTTGTTCGAGTTTTTAATAAGCTTCTGAAGATTTGCAACTTAGCCCATAAGTTCCATTTATTTGCAAACTTCTCCCACTCGTATTTTAGACTTGTATTTAGGTTTTCAGAGTCATTGTTAGGCTATTGTCTTATTTTTATTGAGACTTAGAAAGAGATTAGATCAGGAGTTTTTGGGGAGACAAATCCATACTCTGTTCTTAGAGAGAATTTGAAACCTCCTATATATCTTATTGATATATCATGGTTTTTATGGTTTTTAACCATGATATAAGTCATTTTATTGAGTCTTTTTGGTCTTTTTAGAGTCCTAGTAGAGTTTTTGCAGGTTATAGCATGTCTGGAGTATAATTGGAGATATTGAAGCTTTTTGGAGCATTGCAAGTTGAAGCCACGAAGTGTCCAGCTCGGAGATGAAAGTATGCATTTGGGTGACGCTCGTCACCCCTAGAGAAAAGAGTCGTGGCCTGGTTTTTAAAAGATTGGGAAAAAATTGCACTTTTGACCCAGAAGTTCCAGTATTTGCAAAAAGGCTCCAGATCGTGTTTTAGCTTGTATATTAGGTTTTTCAGTCATTCTTTTGGCAGATATCTTGTATCTTATTGTTCTAGAGAGCTTTAGAGAAAGATTTGTTAGAAGAGCTTTTGGAGAGACAAATCAGACTCCTTCAGAGCAGATTTCGAACTCCTTTATTTCTATTTCTTATTTCTTTTATGCGATCTATTCTTTTCATGGTGTTTTTTCAAATCACCATGTCTGAGTAGGTTAGTTAAGTTAGGGCTTTTCAAAGGTTAAATAAGAGTTTGTAGAATTGCTAAACTTATAGGAAATCCATTGGTTCTTCATCTGTGCTTGCATTCATATTGATTTCTTAGACACATCATCTGGATTTCGAAACTCTAGGTTGTTTGATAGATGTGAGAGCATTATTAATCACCTGAACTAGTATTAGATGAGCAAAACGCCCTAGAGCAAAGAGATTTGGCTTTGGAGTTTTGTGAACAATTGAATCTAGTCATTACTGCATGTTTAGGTTGTTAGGGTTTGCAGAGAGATTTGAAACTCTGTGATTTAGACATAGATAACTTCTGCAATGAGAATTTATTAGTTATATCTTTGCGATTCATGTTCAAGACGGTTTTAATTCATTCCTAATTGCATGCATTCTAAACTCTCAGATTTAACCTGCGAATTGTCCTGACTTAGCGCCTTTAGCTTTCTAAACTTTAAGAACAAGCATAAAACGCCCACTTGCATTTATTTTACTGTTTGGCATTACATTCATTACTTATTGCTTAGTTTAATCTGAACCTGAACTTGATAGTGTAGTTTACATACTCTATTGGGATTCGATAATCCATTATACTACAACTGCTTTGTTGTGCACTTGCAGTAGTTTTGTTTGGATAAAACCTGAGCCCTATCACTTATTCTTCTGTTTTATGTAATTTATTTCTTTCATGATGTTTTCTTTATTCACCATGTCTGAGTAATCTGCTAGTTAGGTTTTGGGTTTCTAGGGTTGAATATGAGTTATTAAAATCGAAATACTGTTAGGATTAATCTGTTTGTTCTTCATCAAAATTGCTTTAATACTTTTTCTTAGGATTGATCACCAAGAAACCCGATCTTAGGTTAATTAATAGATGCGGAAGTATTGTTAATCATCAGAACTATTCATATATGATCAAAATATCTATCTGCAAAGGAATTTAGATTAGAGATTTTGTTAACAATCGAACCTGATTTTATTGATTGTCTAAATTGTTTGAATTTGTAAATGAATTTAGAATTTTAGGATATAGACATAGATAATCTCTGCAACGGAAGTTGGTTGATTTTTCAAATTGTGTTTCGAGTTCTAGAATGGTTCTTAATTAAATATACTGACAGTTTTCACTCTGCAAATTAGAATTCAACGTGCAAATTTTCCAAGGCCTAGCGTTTTTTCTTCTTGATTTGAAAACACTCAAACCAATCATCTGCTGTTTTCTTCTAGTTTATTTTCATTATATTTATTTACTTTTAGCTAAATTTAAATCTAAAATCTGTTAGTAGCAATTTAAATCTCTTGGGATTCGATAACAATTTATATTATATCTGTTTTGATGTGCACTTGTAGTAGTTTTATTTAGGTGAAACTTTGAGTCTATCAATTTTCCGGAGTATCAAGACCATGATATCTGAGTTTAACTACGCCGATCTCCAATACACTTCATATTCTCCGTCTCTTGATCCATGCAGTTCTGGTGGTTTCAATGTCGATCCGCCATTCACGTTACTGGCCGTCTCACTCCGAGATCTGACTTCCAGATCTATGTTAATGACAATTGGAATCTTCAGGCTGGTGATGAGGATCTGTCGAAATCGAGTTGCTCCTGGCAATTCTTTTATGGCGGTTATTGGATTCCGTAGTGATGGAGATTGGTTAGGTGATATAGTATACTATGAAGATTTTCATTATGATTATTATGATATGATGGTTTTGTATAATACGCATATTATCAGATTCTCACATTGATTATTACAAGATTTGTTCAGTGTTTGGTGTTTATGTGTTGCATCAATCATCTACTAAATTTCATGTGTGTGTGTTTGGTTTCATGCAATGAGGATGGAGAGTTTGAAGACTGGGTTTTATTCATGTGGACTAAAATGTGAAGGGACATTGCAAGAGCGAACTACAAAGATGTTTCCTACTTAAAACCAGACGAGCTTATGTGAATTGAAATGCTGAAAGACATTGAAATATCATTTTATATTATTGTATTATTTATAACAGAATCACCACATTGTAAAATATTACTATATATTATTGTATTGAACAATAGAATAGAATGATAAAAAAAAATTACTGGTTTACATAGATTTTTAATTCAAAATTACAAGTCTTAGACATTATAACTTTTATATTTGATTAAATTAGCTTAATACTAAAGTAATCTAACCAATTTATTTGCTTCAGTCATCTTTTGATAAGCCAATCTACTTAATTGAATTCAATAAAACTGTTCACATATACTTCATAGTATAGTGGCAAAACATGAAAATCTTATAGTACTATATTACTTTAGGTCTATGATTTACAAATCTACCAGTTTTATTGACAAACTCCATGATTTCTAAATACCAATAACTGCCATTCATTCAAAATATTCCCACTCAGCCGTTTTTCCCAATTTCTAAATATAATATGATAAGTAAGAAGATTTGGTAAAAAAAAAAATTTGGGTTTGATTTTAATTTTAATTTTTTCGGATTTATTTCAAATTTTATAACGGATTATAGTTGACGAAAAATAACTTCTTATGAAAAACATCACGTAATTGGGATTGTGCTGTTGTGGTCCGATTTCCATTTACACAGACATGTAAATTTTTTTAATTACGGTTTAGGATTGTCCTCCAGATTGGGACTGGAGAGAATATTTGGAAGTTATAAGTAATGTCCTCTTGCAAAAAAATATTGTAAATTATAAATTTATCATATTAATAATTTTGTATAGTATGTTTGTTATTTACCATTAAAGAGCGTTCTCAGGTGGTAGAACTTCTTCAAAAAAATATAAGGTTTTCATAAGGCTGATCTTGAACCGCTATCGAATCACAAAATACCTTTATTTAAAATAATATTTTTAGTTAATCCAATCAATTTTGCTTGCATGACTGAAAGAATTACTGGTTTATCTTTTCATCGAATTAAATTTATAAAAAGTGTACGTTCATGAGCCCATGCTAAAGTTTAAATCAATTTCTGCTAATAATCACACCAGAAAATTAAAAACTAAGTTTTATGTTACATCAATTTGAACGTGTCCAATCTGTTCAATTGCAATTTATGATATTCACAAAATATCTTAATTTACCAGATATTCATTTGTATATGTCAAAGAATACTTGCATAAGTACCCTAGGCTTCTTATTTTTATTATTACATAGTATATATTTATTAAAAGATTTTTTTTAAATAGTGAATATGAAAAACAAATTATTATAAAAAATAATAATTTTCTTAAACTAGTCCACAAACTTTCTTATCTTTAAAAGACAACTAAAATATAAAAATTATGCAGCATCACTTAAATGTGACAAAATTATATCTCTTTATCATAAAAATATATAGCCGTACTAGAAAGACATGACATAATTTGTCCGGCCATATCATATATTTTCACATCTAAGACTAAAGGCAAAAAGTCAAGAAGGTGTTAACCAATCATAGCCGTAAATTCTTTCAGATTCTCCACTTTCTTAATTTCATTATTTAAAATAAATTCTTTATTTTGTACTATAAAGTTAATTCTCTAAAAAAAAGAGCTACCTCCATAATATGATATATTTACATACCTTTCAAAGTTACGTATAAAACACCCTTATAGACATATCAAACACATAATCTCGATTCATTTTAATTTTCACATACGGATATCGTACTTTCCTTCAAAGTCTTCTAGCTACTTTTCCAATTTCAATCTCCAATCTTCCAATTTGATTAAAATACTCAAACTAGTGCGAGCAATGTCCCATTATAACACCAATGAAGAAGCTACAAAAAAGAATCTCCAAGAAGTCGGTAGTGATCTTTAGTAAGAACTCTTGCTGCATGTCTCACACAATTAAAACTCTCTTCCAAGATTTTGGTGTGAACACGGCAATCTATTAGCTAGACAAGATCGTCAACAGACCGAAGGAGATAGAGCAAACATTGGCTCAGCTCGGCTGCAGCCCTACTGTGCTGGTGGTGCTCATAGGAGGGCAGCTCGTTGGTGGAGCCAATCAAGTTATAAGTCTTCATGTCAATCGCTCTCTCGTTCCAATGCTTAAGCGCGTTGGAGCATTATAGCTTTGATAAGCGCGTTGGAGCCTAATAGCTTTGATAATATATGAAGGAATACTTACGTTAATTTGATAATTAATAAAGACATAATTTTTGAAATGACTCATTTAATAATTTTATTATAAAATATGATTTTTCTTAATTTAATTCATAAAAGGGAATATGTAAGTAATAAAAGAATGACAGAAAAAACATTGACCTTTTATCTGTGAATGTTTTGTCCACTTAGGTTTTCAAATGATACATTGTAACGCTTGTATATATTTTAATAAAAACAGTTAGTACTGTTTTCTCCATGTTTATACGTATACATACTTTTTATAAATTTTATATGCGGCATAGCAAGTGTAAAGTTATGCAATGAATAAACTATGCTATTTAAACCTCGGCCGCTTAATGCATAACGTGTTTCAATACAAGAAATTAAAAATTAGGATATGAAATATTTTCATCGTAAGGAAAATGATATTACTACTTAATTTACGAGTTAAAAGTGTGTTGTTTTCACTTGGAGTGGTGCATTGAGCACTCTGGTGCAATAGATTTGGATTTGATAGTCTCAAATCGTAGTGAGTCATAAGAAATAACATTCAACTGTAGAAAAACAGACAAGTCAGACATTTTTACGAGAGTTTGAAGTGGTCGGGAACTTGGCATCAGGGTCGTCCTTGAGATTCCTTGAGATTCTGGGGTTCGGGAAAAATTAAAGAATGAGAATCGTTATTATATATTATGAAAATTAATAGAAAAAATACTCTAGTACAAAAAATATAGGAAATACTTTAAAATAACTCATTACAAGAAAATATTGTTAAACATATATATTTTTTACAACAATTTTAAATATCAGTGCTACCATTCTATCCATTTAGATTTAATTAGATTTTTAAATTACGTTTGCTTAAATTAAAATGGTCATTTAACATTTAACCCTAGCAAATAGTAGTTCAGTTCTTGCAATATCGCTGCTGAAAAGTAGAGGCTACAAAGACTAACACAGGAAGAAAAAGTATGGAAGATGAGAGGCACACCTAGGTCATTTTAGATGATTTAAAATTACAGATCACTTATATAGAGGAGGTTATTTATGTAAAGAAATGGACTTTGACAATATTTCTTGTATAATTGGGGGTTATTGGTTTATGTAAAGAAAACAATGTGGAGACGTTAGACAAGCGTCTCGCGGACTGCTAGCGAATATATATTCTTCCCGCAGGTCAGAAGCAGAGGTTGTGCATACTAACTTCACCTTTGACTACTATTTTATCCTGTGACAATTTGGCTAAGACATCAAACACGACGTGTCGTAGTTTCTCTTGGATAAATGTAGCAATAATGTTATATTGTTACCAGATAAACTCGGTTTGTAGGACAAGACAATGGCATCCCATGTTTGAGAATGACAAAAGACTGCACCGTTTATTTTTGTGGGATGTTATGCTGATAAATGCGCAGATGACAAAACACATACGTCAGACAGGCATCTCGTCGACGCATGTGAGAAGCAGAGGATGTGCAGACTCACTTCACCTTTGACTACTATTTTATCCTGTGACGATTTGGCCAGTTGAACTCAATCAAAAGGTGCTGTAGTTTCTCTCGGGTAAATGTCGCAAAAATGTTATATTATCACCAGATAAACTTGGGTCGTAGGACAAGAAGACGAGAAGACGAAGGCATCCCATTTTTGACGAGACACATACATTAGACAGGTGTCTCACGGACGCATGCAAGAAGCAAAGGCCGCACAGACTCACGTCACTTTTGACTACTGTTTTATCCTGTGATGATTTGGCCAAAGACATCAAACACGAAGTTATTCTAGTTTATGCATGTGGGGGAAAACGTCACAAAATAAAATCAGTTTGTAGGACAAGACGAGGGTATCCCATGTTTGACGAGAATGACAAAAATGATTGCGCTGATTTTTTTGTGGGACGTAATGTTGATAAACACACAGATGACGAGATGCAGACGTTAGACAGGCATCTCGCAGACGCAGGTTAGAAGCAGAAATTGTGCAGACTCACTTCACATTTGACTACTATTTTATCATGTGACGACTTGTCCAATTGAACTCAATCACGAGGTGCTGTAGTTTTCTCTCCGGTAAATATTGCAAAAATGTTATATTGTCACCAGATAAACTCTAGTTGTGGGACAAGAAGACAAGAGACTAGGGCATCCTGCGCAGACTCACTTCACCTTTGACTACTATTTTATTTTGTGACGATTTGGCCAGTTGAACTCAATCAAAACGAAGAATTTTTTCTTTTGACAATTTGGCGAAAACCTCAAACACGACGTGTCATAGTTTGATTATCACTAAGAAAACTTGTTTTGTACATGTCAGTTTAGCATAACCAATTGATGAGACTATCCCAGATTTTGGAATGAGGTGGCAATACTTGTAAATATATAAAAAGCATGTCATTTAGTTTAGCGATTCTAATATAAATATTTATCAATTTATTAGAGATAATTGATAAATAATTGACAATTTTATTATTATTTAGAAAAAAATAAGTTAAACTGTACTTTTTGCATAAATTGAACTCTTTCTCACAATATTTTCAAAAAAAAATATTTTCTATTAGAATTAAAATTGCAAAACAGACTATTTTAAAAATATCTCTAAAAAATATTAAACAAAGCACTATTCAACTTAATGAATTGGGCTATTTTATAAAAAAAAAATCCTGGGTCCATATTAAAAAACCATGAAATATTAGTATTACATGGTCCACTGATGTTCTGCATTTCCAAAAAATAAATGAGAATGTATACATCCAAAAAATAATTGAAACTAACAATAATAACAAATATGTCTTTTGATTCAATACTTATATATATTTAGTTAAGGGTATAAGTGGTATGGCGCAATTATGGATTTGGATGCGATGCGATAATATGTCTTAACGTAAGACATCTACGGGATACGATCACATTGCAAGTTGTAGTATAGAATAACGGCTCTATGGATCACAGTTAGGCTATTTTTAATTTGTTCCTTTGAGCCTTATCCTCGTGGAATGAGATCGAATCTTTGCGATGTGAAGAATCATACAAAATTTAACTTTATTTCAAATCGATGTATGCAGAAATTTTCGTGAGAATAAAGAAAATGTTTTGACTGTAAGTGAAAAGGCCACGTAAACCATCTCACACAGGAAAAAAAAAGGATTATTCTAGAGTTATACCATAAGATCATCTCGAGTCTTCGCAAATGATGAAGATGCAGCTTTTATCATGTGTATATGTCAAAGGCCAGGATTTTAAGATTTTATATTCTACATAATATACATCTTGTTTCATCCTATATAACTTATATAAAATATTGACTTAATTAGGAGTATCCAATCCAAGTTTATATATATATATATATATATATATATGTATTTATGTGATAGAAGAAGAAAAAAATGTATCTATGTGATAAATATGTCATTTCATGAACTATGAAAAGAGAAATCGTACTATCAAGAGATGACATGTTTCGTCCGTATCAAATATTCCTCACATCTAATCTCAGAAATTTTGCCCACTAAATTGATAGTTGCAATTTTTTATTCTCTAGCTGCAACAAGCACAGAAGCTATAGTTGATTCTCGTAGCAAATGGTCCTTCAAACTTAAATCCGTAATATGAAAGCTTACGTACCTTGGGAAGCTATATAAAGCCCCACCCCCCCCCCCCCCCCCCCCCCCCCCCCCAGACCATTTCACTTCATCAAAAAACATCAAGTCAAAGATATCACAACCTCTCTATAAGATCTCTAGCTTGTCAGATTTCATCCTTAATCCACCCTTTTGATTCAAAGGCACCACCTTTTATCATTTGCAATCAGCTTTTGAGAAAACAAATTCACAATATAAAACTCATGGATAAGCTACAGAAGATGATCTCCGAGAAGTCGGTAGTGATCTTTAGCAAGAACTCGTGCTGCATGTCTCACACAATTAAGACTCTCTTCTTAGACTTTGGTGTGAACCCGACGATCTATGAGCTAGACGAGATCAACAGAGGAAAGGAGATAGAGCAAGCATTGGCTCAGCTCGGCTGCAGCCCTACTGTTCCAGTGGTGTTCATAGGAGGGCAGCTCGTAGGTGGAGCCAATCAAGTCATGAGCCTTCATCTCAATCGCTCTCTTGTTCCAATGCTTAAGCGCGTTGGGGCGTTATGGCTTTGATTAATATATAAAGATATACGTACGTAAAAACCTAGCTTTGATGATTAAAACTAATCAAAAACATATACATGTATGTAATGTTTGAATGAATTGTCTATCTAAGTTTTGAAAGGATAGACTATGAGCTAATGTTTTAAGGACATATTAGAAACTTTGAAATATTTTTTAAACGTGGGCATATTTTATAATCAAATCATCTAATGTTGGACTTATCATTGCCATGTTTATATCTATATATTTTTATGTATACAATCAAGCATGCATTAAATAATATTGTATATACGGGTATAGAAAAATGTATAAACATGCATTGACTAATATATTTCATCAGCCTAACGTACGCTTAATGCATATCATGCTCCAACACATATGAAATCAAAACCAGAGCCACACAGGTGAAATATCTTAATCATATTGTTTACGGAACCAACGTACGCTTATTGTATACTCGGTTTGTTTTCGGAACTGAGTTCCAATCCGTAATTTGTAATCCAGTGATTCGCTGCAAAACTTCGCATATAGTTAGAATCCGATCCACAAAGGTTTTTAGTGATTGTTGTAATAAATGTAAAATTTGTTTTGATACAAAAAAAAATATTAAACTTTTGTATCACTTGATATTTGTTGGGGTTATTAAGTGGTGTTAAATTATTACTTATGTTTCTTAATTGGTTCTATATTTTGATAAGGACATGGGCCATCTGATCGTATCGGGTGGAGGAAACGATGAACAATCATCCGTACCGCGTCGAGAGAGTGACGGAGCAACGACCAGCTGTTCGTACCGGGACGAGAGGAGCTGGTGGTGACCGGCTCACCCATGACATGTTCCAAGACTAGGAGGATGAGAGAAGGATTTAATAAGACCATACAAACACTTCTGACCAACATGAACGTGGAGAACATACTTAACCCCCAACCAAACCCCATTGCACTCGAGATAGACATTACTGAGGATTTCGCCAAGATGAGCCTCAAAGATGACCGTTCCACTACAAAATAGGGTATGAATTTTTGCTTGACAGGAAATGGAACTCTTGAAGACACCTACCAGCTCGGCTTCAATGAACATCAGTACGAAGAGAACGTTGAGAAACTCGCCCCAATAGGACCAGAACAAGAAGCATTCGCCAACGTACCAAACAAGCATCATGCGCGCCAAAACCAGGTATTCTCAATTTATACAATTTTTGCAAGTAATCAGGCTTGCCTCAATGGTTCTTAAGCGTCACAACACGCCAAGGAATCATCAGTTCAAGCCACAAGAGATTCGGCCTAGTTTAGCTTTTATTTTCTTTTAGTGAACTTTCCTATTTTGATTTTTTGCGCCTTAAGTGTTTTGTAGCTTTTATTTTCACTTTGTGATGTCGTTTTATGCTTTTATTTCGGTCCTAGGGCTAGTTGACGAGCTGTTTATAAAGCTCCCCTGCAGCGTTGTATCTTTGGTTACCTTTTGATTATCAATAAAGACTAAAAATTTCTTCAAAGCTAATGCCGCCGCTTTAACCTTTGTTCTTGCTTTGTTCTTGTGCGTGTGATTCGTTCAAGACTAAGTGTCTGCTGTATCAGAGAGCTATCCATCCTCTCTGTGGTGCTATCAATCCACTACGTTTCCCCATTCAATTGATCCCTCAAGAGAGAGCCCTATAGCCAGGTTGACAGATCCCATCTCGGCTCAAGGAGTGTTCATCACGCCTTGTTCTATTATTCTCATCCATCAGTCAACACAAGAGAGCGTCATAGCCAGTGTGTGGTCACCATCATACCCCCCCCCCCATTCTGAACCGTGTAACACTCTCATCTGAGTATTACATCATCTGGTATCAGAGCCGAAGATTCTATCTTCGGTTTTCTATCCCTTTACCTTAATAGATCAGTTGTAGTTGCATTGCTTTTCTTTGCTCGTTGGTTTCTTTGTTTTCTCATTTAAAAACCCATAAAAATCGCTTGCTTGCCTCCTTTAGTTTTCTGTTTTAAGTTTTATAAAAAGAAAAACCCCAAAAAGAATAGATCCGTTTTGCTTGTTTCATTTCCATTGTTTAAGTTGTTAGTTGCTTTTATAAAACCTATAAAAAAGTTTCTCTTTGTGTTATTGTGTGTTACTAGTTCTGTTTTTTGATCAGCTTGTTAATTATTAGGCCTATTAGTGACTCTTGTTAGTTGTTATTTCATTGGTACTGTGACAAGTTTGTTAAGTGTTGCAAGGTTAAGCAGCTTTAACAACATGATTGAGGGAGCAAACGGTGCACCAGCTGACCTCGCTCAAGTGCTAGCAGCCATGAGGGAGGACATGAGAAACATGACCCAACAGATGGGTACCATTCGCCAAGAGTTTGTAACTCGTATCGAAAAAATTGAAAATCTGCCGAGGAGAGCGGCTGTACGAGGAGCCCCTATACCACCAGTAGACCCGGGAGATGAGTTACAAGACACTGATGATGATAATCTTGATCCTCTCATGAGACGAGGACAAAGGAGACAAGATCCCCTACAAAGAAATCCAAACCGCGAGGTACATGCTAGAGATACTAATCATGATATCAAACTAACACCTCCTACCTTTGCAGGAAAGTCTATTCCCAAGCTATACTTGGATTGGGAGAGACGTATGGACCACATATTTGAGTGCTATGGATACGCTGAGTGTAAGAAAGTGGCTGTAGCAGCTGCTAACCTCACGGAGAATGCACTTGCATGGTGGGACAGAACCGTAGCTGAGAGGAGAAGGCAACGGTTTGGCCAAGTGTCTACATGGAGCGATATGAAGTATCTGCTCAAGTAAAGGTATGTGCCTGAACATTATCATAGAGACTTACAAAAACGTTTTTGTAAGTTATCTCAGGGAACAAGGAGTGTAGACGAATACTTCGAGGAGTTTGAGAAGCTGATGAACTCTTTGGAGTTAGAAGAGTCTGAGGAAGCTTTAATGGCTCAGTTCTTAGACGGCTTGCAAGAAAGAATTGCAAAAAAGGTGGAGCGGATGAAGTATGGAGGGATGCACGAGTTGTTACACTTAGTTGTACAAGTGGAGCAGCAAATCAAATGCAAGAACCCCCACTTCAACCGTAGCAAACCTAACCAGCCGTGGGCATCAAGCAGCTCAAAACCCTTAGACAAGGGAAAGGGTATAGAAATAGATTCTCATTTCAAAAGTAAGAATGCCGAGGCCCCCAAATTCAAACGACCGGAGCAAAGTAAGTTCTCTAGTACCAATCAAAGATCTAGAGACATAACATGCTTTAAGTGTCAAGGCAGAGGACACATATCTAGAGAATGCCCCAACAACCGCGTGATGATTCTCACTCCTAATGGCGAGTATAAATCACAAGATGAGCTAGAAGAAGAATCAGATGGTGAGGAGGATGACATTCAATATCCTGACCGAGGAGAGCTTTTGGTAACAAGGCGAGTGCTTAGTGTACTAGTCAACCCCGAGGAGAAAGAACAAAGAAAGAACATCTTTCACACAATATGTGTTTCTCAAAGAGATACCACAGGGATTGCCACCTCTACGAGGCAAAGAACACCAGATAGATCTTGTATCGGGGTCAGCCTTACCTAACAAGCCGGGTTACAAAATGAACCTAACCGAGACTAAGGAGTTGGAGAATCAAGTGAGGGACCTAATGGAGAAAGGATACATCTGGGAGAGTCTTAGCCCCTGTGCTGTACCGGTGCTACTAGTCCACAAGAAAGACGGAACATGGAGAATGTGCATGGACTGCCGAACCATTAACAACATCACCATCAAATACCGCCACCATATACCGCGGTTAGATGACATGTTAGAAAAGCTAAGCGGTTCAACAATCTTCTCAAAGGTGGATCTTAAGAGCTGTTATCACCAAGTCAGAATGAGAGAAGGAGATAAATGGAAAACCGCGTTTAAGACTAAGAAAGGGTTGTACGAATGGCTAGTTATGCCATTTGGCTTAACCAATGCCCCTAGTACATTCATGAGGCTTATGAACCAGGTTCTTATATCATATTTAAGCAAATTCGTAGTTGTTTATTTTGATGATATACTTATCTATAGTAAGAACCTTACTGATCATATTAAACACATCGAACTAGTGCTTAAATCACTTCGAAAGGAAGGTCTATATGCCAACCTTAATAAGTGCACCTTTTGTACTGATCAAATCGTGTTTTTAGGTTTTGTAGTTAGTAAACAGGGACTACAAGTTGATGAGGATAAGATAAAGGCGATCAGAGAATGGCCTACCCCTTCTACAATCGGTCAGTGAGGAGCTTTCATGGAATAGCTAGCTTCTATCGCTGATTCGTGAGAGATTTTAGTACAGTAGCTGCACCACTCACTGCTGTGATCAAGAAGAATACACCATTCTCGTGGGGAGCAGCTCAGGAAAACGCATTCAACACCTTAAAAGAGAAACTGACCGAGGTGCCGGTTCTAGCATTACCCGACTTTGATGAGATGTTTGAGGTGGAGTGTGAGGCTTATGGTTTAGGCATAGGAGCTGTTTTACATCAGACAAAGAAGCCAGTGACCTTCTTTAGTGAGAAACTCAGTGGAGCTACACTGAATTACCCGACGTATGACAAAGAGCTCTATGCATTGGTACGAGCTTTAGAGAAATGGCAGCATTATTTGTTGTCAAAGGAGTTCATTATTCACACTGACCATGAGACACTCAAGCATTTGAGAGGGCAGACATCACTCAAGAGGAGACACGCTAAGTGGTTGGAGTTTATAGAGACATTCCCGTACGTGATCAAGTATAAGAAGGGCGAAGACAATGTAGTAGCCGATGTACTTTCCAGAAGATTTGCATTGATATCTACTATGAGGCTAAGGTACTTGGGTTCAAGAATATCAAGGAGTTGTACAAAGGGGACCCGGAGCTAGGAGAAGAATATCAGGAGCATGGCAAAGGAGCTTTCACTTCTTTCTATCTTCACGATGACTTCTTGTTCAAAGACAAGCGCTTATGCATTCCACAATATTCAATAAGGGACTTAATACTAGAAGAAGCACG